ACTAAGTTTTCTATACCCACAGTCTGTTTATTGAAACGACAAACCTAAATTTTTATTTTCTATTTCTCCTTCTTGTAATCTCGGTAAGCTTTTTCAGGTCGATATTCTTGGTGCACTTGTGTGCACCTCTGATCCTTGCTATTGTATTCAAACATCCAAACAAATATTTATTTTAAAAAGCAGAAGAATTCACTATATAGGGGGCAGCGATAAAATTGCTCCTTCCATTTTGCTGGTGTCTACTAATTATCTTCCTGTCGGTCCATCCACATCCATCAGTTCACAGAAATAACTTCTGAGGATGAGGAATTTAAAAGCCTGTAGATCGTGTTTCAGTATTACCTGGAACTACTGGACGCCAGAATCTTTTCTTAATTTGTTGTTTTCTCCATTACACTCTGCTTATTTATCCTCAAGAATTCAGACTCTGTTCAGTTCTCAAAAAGTAAATGGCATAGCAATATGACTCGGGGCTTAAGAAACCGTACTGTGGGAGGAGGGACTAACAGAAAGATAAATCTTGGCAAACTTGCTATGGCATTCATTATGTCCCAATTAACTCTCCCTTTTATAAAGATCTTAAGATTTTCATGCAAAATGGGAGTTCCTATGGATTAAGACATTATATACAAAGTCTTCCAACTGACAATTATTTTTTTCTCACTTTATAATCAAAGAGACTGAGCTGTCCAAAGCACAAAGTAAAACACAGATGCCGTGTCTCCAGCAAAAACAATCTTACAAGGCTGTAAAATTCACATTCCACTTAAGGAAAGCATGGGTGTGTGTTAGGGGGTCGGGAGGGGGGTAAGTTACCGTTGTCTTTTCTTTCCCAATGGAAGAATGAAATTAAATACCCCAAGTCAGCTGAGATAGAGATACATAAAATCAAAAGATAGGGAGGTGGGAGAGAAGGAGAGGGACCACTTTCTGTGGCACCAAAGCACTTCCTTCAGCGTAATCTCATCTAATCCCGACAACAATTCAGTGAAGCTTTCAGTCATTATCCAGAGTCAACTTTGGCAAAATGTTTTACAGTCACCCCTGCTTTTTACAGATGAGCCAGATGGAGTGCAGAAATGGTCGATGTCTCCAAACTCACAAAGCTAAGTTTCTGAGCCAGACTACAGAGACTTCCTCCAGAGGACAGACACTGCTGGCTTTATTCAGAGAGCTATTCTCTAGTCCTTGCTCCAGTAGTTTACAGTCTGGGCTTAAATTTTCATGTCCAGATACATTAATTAAGAGAAAGGAATAATAGCTATCAGGTGACTGTCTCAAAGAGAAAAGACAGGCAAAGCAGGAACTCTTGAGTTCTCTTGGGGCTTCCCAAGAGAAAACTGAGGTACCACCTACCAAGGAAGTTACTCAGTTTTCTGAGCACTTACCTGTGTCAAGTCAGGTAACAGTGAAAATGAGACAGTCCCCACCTGAGAGCAGAAAACCGCTGGGCTTAACTACACAGGCACCACAGCTCTTTCTTGCTTAACATTTATCAGGCTTATGGGCTGGCACTTACTCAAGAAGTAGCATCCACAGCACGGCTACTGATGTTTAAATTTTTTTCATATCTGAGCCTCCACACAGAGAGTGTCCTCACAAGTGTCCTCACATCTTTTTCAACATCAATTTGGTGAATACTTGCTAGGCCAACTTTGGCAAAATGTTTAAGACTTTGATTCAAGTGGAAATAAGATGGTCAAAGCCGAAATTTCTTCAACAACAAGAGATTTTTAAAGTATTTTATTGGATCTGAGCTACAGAGAAAAATTTTCATTAAAGAACATCACTATTACCACAACAACTTATTTAGCACTTGCTGTGTACTAGGTGCTGCACTAAGACATTTTAGCTTCCAGTACTTTGAACCAAGCTGGGAGAAATAGCAGTGGTGAGGGTCCAGTCTTTGTATATGGAGGATTGTGCTAACTGAATTATCCCCATAAAGCTGCTTGATAATTCTGAAGAAAGCTCACAGCCACCTTCTCATTAGGAGGGTAGGGATAAAAGTATTATAGTGAAAAACTGAGATGATACTGGATCCCAGGCCAGAGGACCTAAAGAAATACTCTGTCCATTAGGAGCCTACCCTATGGAGGAACTTAATCCTACTCCAGATGGGGACTGGGTACGAAGATCAATGCCATTTTTCTTCAGATGAATACTGTGGACCCAGAAGGAAGCACCTTGTAAGCAGGAAAAATAAATTTGTGCTGAAATAATGGATGTAAAATACTTCTCCCTGTCCACTATTGTCAAAACAAATTTAAGAGGAACAGGGGGAGGAAGGGAATGTTGAACGTCAATTATGTGACAGCCATAGTACTAAAAACAAAATGAAATGGGACATTAAAAAATGTTAGGCTGAGATGATGTCTTTTGGTTCATTGCACCCCTTTAATTTTATCTGAATTCCTTTGGCTTGTATGTGCTTTTCCTAATATCAGTACAAATTCAAGCTGATATCTTATACAGCGTGATTCAAACTAAAGGTACAATCATCTACTGATAAGAACAATAAGTAAATTGTTTCATTGTAATATTATCTCTTAGCAGTTTGTATAAGTAATTTACAAGTTTTTCTGTAACTTATCAGACCCACCCAGTAGCTTTTACAGAGATGCAGTTGGTGTTCTCATAGGGGAAAAATACTCTCTTCCTAAAGGCTCCGGATGCACATTCTATACTGGCATCAAGTCTGGCTATCTTAGCTCATAAAAGAGCTGGGTTCTTACCTCCTAATATAATTCTAAATCACCAAAAGTAGACATTGGGAAAAAAGCAATGTATCCTTTACATGTTTGTCTCCAAAATAAAACAGTAAAAACCTGAGATAGATTTAATGTTTTGTCTCCAAAAATCACTAGCTGGTACCTATGGTTACTTCATCTGAATCTAATTGAGGAAACAGGGTTCTACATAGTTGGTGATGTCATGGGGGTATCTAGCACTTGGTGATGTCACAGAGGATATTTATGCATTTGGTAATGTCATAGAGGGGGGTCTGTGCACTTGGTGATGACACAGAGCCGTCCAACTGCTGGCAGCAGTTTTACATTCTGTCGTTCACTTTAAAACTATAATGGTCTTTGGGCCCGGCGCGGTGGTTCAAGCCTGTAATCCCAGCACTTTGGGAGGCCGAGGTGGATGGATCATGCGGTCAAGAGATTGAGACCATCCTGGTCAATATGGTGAAACCCCGTCTCTACTAAAAAAATACAAAAAATTAGCTGGGCATGGTGGCACGTGCCTGTAATCCCAGCTACTCAGAAGGCTGAGGCAGGAGAATTGCCTGAACCCAGGAGGCGGAGGTTGCAGTGAGCCAAGATTGTGCCATCGCACTCCAGCCTGGGTAACAAGAGCGAAACTCCGTCTCAAAAAAAAAACAAAAACAAAAAACAAAACAAAACTATAATGGTCTTTAATGGCCCCCCAAAACTCTATTTCTAATTTTGCCACCAGGGCCCACATCCCTGTACTTTAAAATGAGAAGATTTAAGGATACCAACTATTCTGGTTCTTTTTTGGTAATTTGAAACTACCAAAAAAAAGAAAAAATAGAAGGCATAAGACCTAGTACGTGATAGCACAGCAGGGTGACTGTAGCCAATAACTTAATTGTATATTTTTAAATAAACGTGTAATTTAATTGTAACACAAAGAATAAATGCTGGAGGAAATGAATACTGCATTTTACAGTGATTATTACACATTGCACACCTGTATCAAAACATTTCATGTACCCCATATACTATGTATCCATAAAAATTAAAAGTTAAAAAAAAAATCACTAGCTGCTACCTGCAGTCACTTGATGTGAGTGCTTGAGGAAAGAGAAATAATTGGCTTAAATCCCTCTACCGCAAAAAATTCTTTGTGAAGACCAATCCCTCCATCATGTAAATGCATGGACATTACCTCAGCAATTTTAGCACTTACTGCTTTTCCACTGGCGTTTGGTGAGTAATTAAGAATGTAACTTAATAGGACTTTAGATCCTTCCCCTAAGAACTCTTTTTTCTCTTTTCTGTACTTATCTTAATATTGCTAAGAGGTGGCAGCCAATGTACAGCTGAGTTTCCTTGGGCTGAGTATGATGAAAATGCGAAGTGTAATCTGAGCATGGCCCTGAACTTGGGCTGGTAGCTCTCTGGCCCACTTTATATACTGGGAACTCTTGGGATACCCTGGGGAAGGAGCTCAGGCTGGAAGCAGGAAACAACCCAACTGAGCTGAGTTGGAAAGAATTTAACCTTTTTAAAGGAAGCCTGTTATGCCTAAAAAATACTTACCTTTTCTCATTGAAATTATCCTTCACTTTCCAGGAATCCCTTCAGAAAAACATATTCCATGCCTTTTTTCAGCACAATCCAGCCAATCATCTCGGCTCAGACATCTCTCCCATGCAAATGCTTAAAGCTGTCCTCCAAGCCTTTCCTTTTTCTATGACACTTGCTGGTTAGGTTAATTATAGCTTCTCACCACCAGATGTAAATTCTCCCAGTGCCCATGAATACACCCTGGTCCAGAGGAAATCAGGGAAGAAGTATGTCATAAGAACTTGTAATACAAGCCTTCATATACACGGCAAGGGAGGGCATAATGCCTCCCTTTCTCACTTGCAAAGGGGGAAGAATAGCACTTAAGTCTGCAGGCGTCCTGAGACTCAAAAGCTGTTCAGAAAGGCATTGAACAAACATCTGGCACAGGAAATGCCCATTGTAAGTCACCTGTTTCCATTTATGTCTCAATCTGTAAAATGTAGTGAGACGTGCCACAGCAATTAGCATGCAGATTACAAGGGCTGATCCCCATCTTTTACTCACAACCCTGATAAGGTAATGATGGTGATACGACAGGGGCTGTGGTAACTTTAGCTAAATTTGTACGACACTACACACCACCCATTCACGGATTCTCCCGAGTGTGCAGCCATCCATGTGTGTATTAAATATAAAACCAAAAAATTATTCAAATTAAATGCTAAAGTGTATTAAATGTTGTTTTAATGCAAATTTTATTTTGATTTGTTTCTGTGACTCCTTTATTTTAAACCCAGCAACACCACTTCCCAAGGTGTGAAAACGAAGATTAAAGGCAAACTCAACGTTGAGGAGTGTAAAGAAATGACAGAACACAGATAAAACAACACCCGAAAAGCCTCTGTAGGCAGGTCAAGGTTATGATTCAACAATTAGAAAATCAAAATTACCTGGACGTCCCCTTCTCATTTAACTGATATTCTGGAATTGAAAATATTAACCATTAGTTTTAGAAACTAAGATTACTTGAAATGAAGTAGGGTCATTCCAGGGTGCTTTTCTTTTTTCCTTCCCCGAAACAATTACATCAAACTTAGATATTCTTCTGTTTATTTTTAGAGATACTCCGTGAAGGCATTTATGCTCATCCTTTTTAAGAGGATGAGAAATTTACATTAGTAACATTTAACATTGATCTTAAAACCTGGTTTTTAAAATAAGACTAGTGTGACAGAGGTACTTGTAGAGCAAAAAAAGCAGGATTCCAGATCTTATTTTTTAGAAGACTGAAAAAAAAAACACACACTAGGGACATTTCTTTGATCAATAAAGTTTCAGGAAATGGAGGAAGCTGTTTTGGGACACATTCAAAGCTGGTTAACTTGAACTTGGAAATAGGCTTTTGACAATGCAACTATGGGAAACAAATCTCTGAACAAATTTTAAATGAAACCTCATCCACCCCCCAAAGTGGCGGACATAATAAATTACCATAAATTATACGCCAAGACACCTTTAAAAAACAACAAAAAAGCCCATGAGGCTGAGGACTTCCTTAGCTCTCCAGGAAGTGTGTAACACTGCTTCTGGCCTGCAGGCTGGGGCGGATCGGGGACCTGTCACACATCAGGATAGTTGCAGTAATACACGGCGGAGCTGGCGTCGGACACCACGGAGGAAATGGCCCCGTGGCTGTCGGGGAGAGTCACACTAGAGTCATGCCCCTGGTAGGAGAGGCCCATCTCAGGCTTGCACACGAAGTGCAGATACTGTTCAAATTCCGTGCGGTCCACCTCCCCGAGGAGCTCGGCGGGCTGGCTGGGGTCCGTGCCGTCCCGGCAGGGCAGTGCCTCCGGAGGGGGCGACGGCTGCCCGGGGCCCGGGGGGTGGTGCTGGTGCTGGTGCTGGTGCTGCGGCTGCGGCTGCATCTGGAAGCCGCGGCCCCCACCCGCCCCGGGCGAGCCCACCGCGCCGTAGTACATGTGTAGGGCGCTGGGGGGCGCCAGGAGGCCCGGCATTGAGGGACCCGCGGGTTCCGGGCCGAGTCGGGGGTGCATGGGGCCGGAGGGAGGCTCCAGGGGCCCCGCGTAGTCCGAGACCTGCGCGTAGCTGTAGGCGCCGGCCGCCGGACAGTCCCCGGGCATTGGGGCGGCGAAGAAGGCCGGGTCCGGGTCCACGCCGTCCAGCGGGGACGTGTCGGGCGTGGGCAACGGGTAGCCGTCGAGCGGGGACGCGCCCAGACCCTGGCAGTCGCGGTAGTGGCCGCCCATGTGAGGGGGCAGCAGCGGCGGGCCAGCAGGGAAGCCCTGCTCGGGGAACGGGAGGCCCAAGCCGTCCATCGCCACGCGGCCGCCCTCGGGGCCCAGCGCTGCCGCCTGCGGCTCGGCCAGGCCGTGCAGGAAGCCGCCCTCCACCCGCTTCAGACGCTTCACCTGCTTGCGCCGCCGCGGCCGGTACTTGTAGTTGGGGTGGTCCTGCATGTGCTGCACGCGCAGCCGCTCGGCCTCCTCCACGAAGGGCCGCTTCTCCGCCAGCGTCAGCGCCTTCCACGACTTGCCTGCGCGGTCGAAGGAAGTGGGAGAGGGGCGCAGGGCTTACCGGCTGCGCTCCGGCTCCAGGCCCACCCGGCCCCACCTCGAATCCAGCAACTCGGGTCAAGTGAAGAAGGGAGTCCTGGGACTCGGAGGCCCAAACCCTGGGGAAGACCCGTCTTCTAAAGGCACCCCCCCCCTTTTTTTTTTTTTTTTGCCCTCCTGGAAGCGCTTTCCGCCCTCCCATCAGCGAATCGTTCGAAAAACGGAAAAGGACACCTGGGTAGGGAAGGGTCGAGTGAGCGGCCCAATTCAGAGCCAGGGTGCTCTCGCGCCGCCCACAGGTGCCAGGAAGCCGCCTTCCCAGAGCCCTGGGACCCGCGCTCCCGGCCAATTGGGGAATCCCGGCGCCGCAGAGCAAGGCGGAGAGCTGTTTTGGAGGGTCGGAGAGCGGGAAGCGAATGCAGGGCCTTAAGAAGGACGTGGCCGCTGCACACTCCTGGTCTCGGGCGTCAGGCTCGCAAAGAACACCGTTTGGGGCTCGAGAAAGCCGCCTAGCGATTCACACCAGCGCGCTCAGCCGCCTGGGTCCGCGACCCGGACTCACCCAGCATCTTGCTCAGCTCGGCGTTGTGCAGGTCGGGGTTTTGCTGCGCCAGCCGCTTGCGCTCGTCCTTAGCCCACACCATGAAGGCGTTCATCGGCCGCCGGATACGGGACTCGCCCTTAGCTCGGCCCGCGGACCCGGCCGGAGCTCCGCTGCTCGCCGGCGCCTCGCCCTTCACCTTCATGTCCCCGATGGGGCTCAGCGACTCGGCCCAGGGGCAGGGGCCCAGCCCCGCCATCACCGCGGGCAGCGCGCTCCGGGTCTGGCTCTGGTCGTCACTGGCGTATCCCGCATCCGGGCTGCTCATGGCGCTCCAGGCCTGACCCGCTCCCCCGCAATCCTCCGCCGGACGCGCCGCCTTCCCCGACCCGGGGGAGGGGTGGGGAGTGAGGCACGGAGGTGCCCCGAGGGCTGCGCGGGTTTCCCGGCCCGAAGCCGCCGCCGGTGTTCTAGCCTGTCGCGGTATACTGCGTAGCCAGAGACCCCAGCCGGCCTACTAACACTGCGGGCGCCCCTGGGCCGCGGGGCTTTTTCTGCGCAGAAGTGGCCAATGGAGCGGCGAGGGCGGGCCGGTCCGGAGTTGTTAGGCCCACGCCCAGCCCGTGGTCGGAGTCCTAAGCCCCAGTCCAACCCCACGCCCGCCCCTTGCCCCTCCCCCGAACCCGCGCCCAGGGCTACACCTGCCCCCGGGAAAACTAGCGGGAGCCAGGCTCTGGCGCCCGTCCTCTCCCTCCTGAGGGTTAGGGAGACTCCTGAGAAACCATCTGGGAGGGCCGATTGTACCTTGGAAGAGACGTACTTGCCCAAGGTCGTTTAGACTAACATACTGGACGTCCACTCTCTTCTCTTTAAAGCACATCTTTGTAGAAGCCGAGGGTGCTTCAGTGGTAGGTGACCTAGTTTAGGAAATGCACGGACATCTTCAAATGTATTTTCTCAAATGCGACAGACAGCGTTAATAATACATTTAAAAATACAATTTCACCACCAAGGACTCACCTTGGCTGTGTTATACTCAAAATGCTGTGTCCAAGATAAATCCTAATTTTCTAAAGCAAGATTAAATGTGGAACGATGTTCTGGATGCAATATTCCATCACTTTGAAGAATTTAAAGCATTTACTCATGACAAACCAACCAGTTTTTATGTGTATCTTATACACATCATGTGCAAATGTGAAAGTGTGAAAATTTGTACATCATGTATATAATAAGATACGCATAACAAAACTGTTTCTCATGTGTTCAGTAAGAGGTGAGCCTTAATACTGATTTCTAAAATATAAAGACAGCAATAATATTTGTCTAAATGTCTGAGTTTGTTAGTGGGGAGAGAACAATCCTTTTTAGCTGCAAAGGAACTGTAGTAGCTCTCAAAGTCAGTTCCAGGTGGTTATTCTGGCAGATAATTAGATACGTTTGTTTAGACTGCAGTGAAATCTGAATGACTATTAAACTTGTGTTTGGATCTGGGAAAAAAATAGTTTTCAGTGGGATTTTTAAAACAAGCCCTTATGCAGCGCTAAGAAATGACAGCATACCACTGCCATCTTAGCGCCCCTCCGGCATTGGCAAATGAGTGTATCCTCGCAACAACCTTGAGGTAGACTCTATTAAATCTTACAGGACAGGAAACTGAGGCAGAGAAGTTACAGAGACTACAGCTTTGAGAGGGTGGAATTCACACCCCGCGGTCTGCTTTCAGACTTGGAGCTCTTAATCACTAAGCCAGGCTGTTATGTTTGTGTATTTGCGTTGTTTTTTGAGGGTTACTAACTTAGCCATTCCTGCAAAATTAAGATAACTGCAAAGAAATCAATATATCAATCTCCGGAACAGATTTTTTTTTTTTTTTTTACAAAGGTGTGATCAAACAGGAGAGCTTACACCTGGAATCTGAGAGGTAAAGTCTTGCCGCTTCGACTGTGATACCGCAGCCACAAAGGCGTCTGTCCAGTCCCGCTTATTAGTGGCATCCATAAAAATACAGAACTTTTGCAAACTCCTGGCCTTCAGTTTCTCTGGCATCGCCTTTTCTCAAAAGAACTCTTGCAAAATTGTTTTAAGCCAACTTATCTTTAATTCTGCAAGTAGCTGTGAAGCCTTGGTTAGGGGACAAGTTAAGAAAGTGTTTCTAGTTCCTGGGTCTCTAAGATTCAGACAAGAAAAAAATTTAAGTCTGCATAAAGAAATCATGGAGGGTGTTACTTTTAATTGGTAGTTTTGAAAGCAGTTGATTTTAGAAAAATTTAAATGATAATGTACTTTAAAAGCTTTAGTTTTTTCTGAAAAAATGGGCTTCAGAATAAAGCAAAAACACTTTACAAATGGTTAAATAAGCAACAAAACTATAGGAGGGAGAGTGATCTACAAATTAACCCCGTAGTACCTTGCTTTTTGCTGTTTTTTTTTTTTTACATCTTTTCTAACTTTTCTGGATAATAAATATTTTTCAAAGGTCTCAAAGTAGAATTTTCTCTTAATGCAAAATCTTTTATGATTTTCCTAGAATAAACACTGAAAATTAAAAACAATGTTCGACCCAGAATCCATTTTTATCTTTCTAATCTGTTTCACTAATTCCTTTAAAAAATACTACAGGAAACACACAATCCAAAAAATGTACATGCACAGATTTAGCCTTGTATGCTTTCTTCATCCTGGTGCTCTTCATCACCCAGCCCTTTATGGGGAGAGGTGCGCCTGGGAGCCAAGAAGGTCGAGAAAATGATGGGGGAAGAAAACGCGGGATTTCCTAATTTTTTTCTTTTCTTTTCTTTCTTTTTCTTTCCTTTTTTCTTTCTTTTCTTTTCGTTCTTTCTTTCCTTTTTTAACGAAGTTTTGCTCTTGTTGCCCAGGCTGGAGTGCAATCACGACCTCGGCTTGCTGCAACCTCCACCTCCGGGATTCAAGCTATTCTCCTGTCTCAGCCTCCCTAGTAGCTGGGATTACAGGTGCAGGCCACCACTCCCGGCTAGTTTTTGTATTTTTGGTAGAGACGGGATTTCATCATATTGGTCTGGCAGTTCTCGAACTCCTGACCTCAGGTGATCCGCCGGCTTCGACCTCCCAAAGTGCTGGGATTACAGGCTTGAACCACCTGCGTCCGGCAGGATTTCCCTATTTTTATTTGCCCTTGTTCCTGGGGACTGATCTTGATGGGGTAAGAGAAATCAGGTGAAAGTACACAACTTAGGTTGGAGTAAGAGCTTCAGATTTTGGCACCTCTCCCCCTACTTTTTATAAAACCCTTCCTGGGATCATAAAGTCGCAGTTTACAAATTTATCAGGGAGTAATTGTGGTGACTTTCCAAAACTAGCCCTTTTTACATACTGTGACCTAGATGTCATTTCTTCTGATCCTTCGCTTGTCACGTATTTTCGGGGGGCAGTGTGGAGGGCTCCGGCGTCGCTGACCCGTGCGCAGTGTATGTGTCTTCTATTTCAGTCTCTTCACTTTAATACTCGGTGACCCGGGATGTTATCAGAGCCAGCCACAAATGCCACATGTAAAGCAGCAAACATCCGGAGTGGCTTCCTGCAAGCCTTGCTTTTCTCAACACGAGAGATTTACGCAGGGGGGTGGAGGGGAACAAGTTTCACAAGAAAGAGCCGAGTACACAGCTCTCATAGCCGGCCTGGTGCGTTCGCACAGCACAGTCCAGGGTCGCAGGGCTCCTGGCTACTAATTACGCTCACTTCCCCGGGAGGCTCGAAAGGCTGAGCAAGGAAGCGACTAGCGCACCGAGAAGCTGTACCCCTGGCCAGTAGGGGCCTTTGGTCAGCGGGCGCAGAAATTAACTCGGGTAGGTGGCGAACCGTGGTACTGACCTGGAAAAATCAGAGCCACGCTTATCCGTGGGCCCCTGAATGACCAGGCAAAGGCTGGGTGATTTCCGGCAGGCTTTTATGTTTTCGGTGCTGGGAAAGCAGGAGCTGGAGGAAGGACACTCAAGTCGATCGGGAAGGATCGTGGGCACCTAGGCAGATCCGGGTTGGCGCTGGAGAGCAAGTCTGTGGGGGCGGGGGAGGAGAGTGAGCGCCGCAAACCCTGGGAAAACTCCGAGAGGCCCGTGGACGAGTAGACAATGGTATCCCTGGAACAAAGAACAACAATAAGGCCTTTGCATTTATAAATCGTGCGCGGGCGGCTGCCTCCTGGAGCCCGGCTCGAGGTGGCGCTCGGCTTCGGAGCGCAGCCGAGGGTCCCGCACTTCCCAGGTGGGGCAGCGCAGCCGGACGCCACGGATTCGCACCTCGCGCCCCGGCGCCGTCTAGGCGGCGGCGCCGCGCCCCTAGATACCTTTCACGTCTCCTCCCTTTCCCGGGGCCAGTCCCCCGTGGGTCCGGGATGGAGGTCGAAGGTCGCGGGCGGGAGGGGAAGGGGTAGGGAGGAAGGAGTGGCCCGGAAGATCGCGGCCACCCGCTCTGCCGCTGCTCGCTCCCGGCCTTGGAGGCCCCCACCAGTTCGGAGCCCGGCAGAAGCTGCAGCGCGGGTCCCACACAGCTCCTGCCTTGCTCCTAGGCTGCGCCGCCCTCTCTCCTTAGGGACTTAAAAAAAAAGGCGGGGGGGGGGGTGGTGGAGGGCGACGGAGAGAGGGAATTTGGGGAAGTGCATTCCCCTCGAGAATGGGAGCACACAGTTTGCTTGGACGCCCTCTCCCACTCCCGCCGCGCGCATCCCTCCCCAGTCCCACGGAGTCTTCTTGAGGCTGCCCCCCAACCCCGCCCTGGCGGCGGGCGACTCTTTGACCGCGTCCCGGTTCCCGCTTGTCCCCGCCTGGGAATCGCACAGGCGAAGCAGGAAATGCGCTGTTCCCGGTCCACTTCCCTACTCAGAAACTCATCGGCGGGGTGTTTCTTAGATCCCCCCACCTCCAACTGTGGCCCCAGGTTGAAGTGTGTGGGCTACTTCCCTTCACTGCTTGGCCTGTGGAACCTCAGACTCCAGGGGGAGGTAGCGTTGGGAATGAGGGCGAGGGTCCCGTTCCTCACCCAGGAGTCATCACACACACGGCACTGAAAGCTCACCCCTTTCAGGTCTGCCGCGCAGCCTTAAAAGGGATTTCAATAGTGGCAGGGCGTCTACACACTCGCGCTGCGGCTGAGCTCCTACTCCCACCTTCCCCATCCACACTCTAGGAGAGGCCAGGGCTTTCCTTGGAGACCTGTGTCCTCAACTGACCAGACAGCCTTATCAGCAGCGTGCCCACTGTGCTCACAGCACTGCCACTCCCACCCAGGAGAGCGGCCACGGTCCCTGCCTCAGAGGAATCTACCGTGCAGTGTCATTAGTCTTCTTCCCTGATTCATTAACTTCCAGCTGGGTGTTCTAGATATGGTCTTCTGTAATAATTTGTTCCTGGCATGTAAAGGTGATGCTGACATCAGTAGGTTAAGCACCTTGAGATTTTTTTTTTTTTTTCTAGTAGAGATAATAGGTTGCCTTTCCACCCTGAAAACTCTGGCTTGCCAAGTTTCCCTAGTCAGCAGGGCTGGATTGTGCCAGATGGTTGGTGAGGGCAAGGTGTGCATTCTGTTATCATGGAAGTGATCAAAGCTAAATAGGTCATAGGACAGGCCACTTCTGACAGCACTCATTACCCAGTCTTTTGTACAACTTTAGCCACACACATGTCAGATTGTGAAAGGGTACCTGAGTTGGCTTCCAAAGTTTCTGAACAGAAGAGAAAATATGAGAGATCCTTGCTGGATTCGTTTGCAGTCAGTATTTGGTTAACCTGTTGCCTAAATTTTCTTCTCTGCCCACTTTTTGCACCTTGCTAACAACTTCGTCAGTACTCTTTAATAACAACACAGGGTCTTTGGTATATTTCATCTTTGTATCTCGAGAGCACATGCAATTCACTGGTCTTCGATAAATTCTTCAGTATACTGTTACAGCTGTCATGGATGGAATCGGAAAGTCATCTTCCTACAAGGCAAGGCATTGCGAATGATCTCTGTAGACCTTAGCAAAGACTGTTCTCATCTCAGACACATCTGTGTAGCCCTGTGGGCATCTGACTTCAGGTCTGTCATTTTCTTTCTCTCGTTCACCAGGAGTTCAGTCTTCAGACATTAAGCATCTGAAATCCCACCTTTTTAAAAGATTAAGTCAAATTCTTTTTCTTTTCTGAACCCATTCCACTTGGAAGTCCAGTCCAAGAATGTACATGGATAATTTTTAACGTGGATATAATGCAAAAGCAAATGTCTATATTTGGAAAAATTTTCAAAACTGATCTTTAGTATTAACTTCTTCATAATGGTAGAGAACAGTTTGCAAAGGAGTTTCACTAACTCCTCTGACCCTCCTGACAACCCTGGAGGTAGACAGGGCAGCCTTGGTTATTAGCCTCATTTTTCAGGAGATTGAGACTGAGAGAGGTTAGGTGACTTGCTCAAAAGCACATTAGAGTGCTTGGACCACCTATCTGCCCTTGCTGCTACCAGTAGTGGGTCTTCAGGAATTGGAGGCTACAGTGAGCCATGACTGTACCACTGCACTCCAGCCTGGGCAAGAAAGCAAGATCCAGATCCTATCTCTAAAAAACAAAGCATTAGTGAGTCTTGTTTTGAATTTCTTTTCATGCCATTGTTACAGCCAATAAGGAACCTAATGGAATGTGTAGGGACAAAATAAAGACAGTGGATAGACGGATGGAGTAAGGAGCCTTGGCACAGAAACTTCCTGTGTTATCCCTAAGTAGGTCATGATCATTTTTAAATATTAGACATGTATGCTGTAAGAAGAAAGCATTTTCATTTAGAACATCTGTAACTTGATATTTTGATTAGATCATATAACCTAAGCCCCAGATGACATCTCATGTATTTTAACTATTATTTTATACAGACTAATGCTGATTTAGCTGAACAAAAGAGAGTACAGTTCAGAGTTAAATGGGAATAAAGTTCTTGTGTAAGGGAGTTGAAGTTCTCGAACTTTTGACTCTCTACTTCATGCACATTCAGATGAAAAGCAACTTAATTGCACTGAATTGTGGTTTTGTTACCTGTTTAAGGTATAAGCTGTGAGCCTACTACTCTAGACCCACTGCAAACCCAGTCTTAAAGACATAAAAACATAGCAGGTAGGTAAAGTAAATGCTCTCCATTCTTAACTGTTGTTTGGAAGAGAAATGGATGGCAAATCTTATCCATTCTGTTTTACAAAGTGAAAAATTAAGGTACAGACCAATTGGGTAATTTGCTTAATGCTTTCAAATCAGCCTAGGAGACGAGAGTAATCTGTTCATTTAATCAACAAATAATTATCCAACACCTGTGAATCTGAGGCTTAGCACAGCATGATACATTGGTTATGAACACATATTTGGGAGGCGAACTGCTCGGGCTGGAATTCTAGTCCTACTGTTTACCATGGTGTATCCGTGGACGTGTTACTGAATCTTCTTTATGCCCCATCTGTGAACTGGAGGATGGTAATAGTAATGTCCTCAGGGAGTTTTGTGAGGATAAAATGCATTCATTATTCCTCAACTGCTTAGAATAGGACCAGGCACATAGTAAGTTCTACAGAGGTATTTCATAAATAAAATAAAATTTAAATAAATGCATGTTGGCATATGAAAACATTGGGAGAAGAAATAAAACTACCACAGTGTTGGGGGTACATGCATTATAACAACTAGATGAAATGTGTAATATCATACGTTAACATCTATGATAATTAGTAATAGCATTGTACTTTAATCAAAATTATCTTACACTAGCAAAACTTTCAGAGATTTCTCTGTAAATTATTGTACACTTTCTGGTTATAGTTAAATGTGAACATTTTTACTATGGTGGTAAAAGAAGCCTTTGTTTTGTGAATATCAACCTTTTAAAACCCTGTTACAACCGGCAAGCAAAAATACAATTGCAGAGCATTCAGTGTTCTATTAGTATATCTTTGCAATGCAAAGCATTCAGTGTTCTATTAGTATATCTTTGCAATGCAAAGAGATGCCTTGAAAATTAGCGTTTTCATCAGTAGGCCTAAATTCTTCTAAAGACATACGGAGGCAAAGTGCAACCTCAGTAAGTGTGCCTGGTATACATGTATTTTAAAGGAAGAATAACCTAGCCTGGATCTTTCTGTGTTATAGAGTGGTTGTTCAATAACCTGCTACTAGGTAAATTGCAAGTCACTTAAACAGCCTCACCCTCAAGTTTCTCAAAAAAAGAAGGGGAGAATGTCTGATCTTTGTCAGATAAAGAAGTGAAAAAATGATCACAAAGACTTTTGTATGGTAAAAGTGCTGAGTAAAACGTGTGTGTGTGTGTCTAGAGATATAACAATTTAGAGAAAATTTTCTATACAGAAAAAAATAGCAAATTGTGATAAAACCAGAGTCAGGGATTGTAAAGAAGACTATACTGTTTGGGGTAATAATGGAAAACTGTTTTTTTATAGAGCAAAAGATTTTTAAAATTATTTGAAATTAATTATTGCACAGAAGAGCTCACCTTTGATCCAGGGGAAAGCAGATTCTACTTTTATGAAGTTTGACTGTGGATGTACTGTGTGGGCCATTGCGTTAGTAGTTGATCGATTCAGTGGCTAGTCTAAAAGGGGAATTTGGGAATTTGGAGAGAGACTAGACAACTCTTTCTTTTTGACACTTTCTGGTTATATAACATTTTTATAGGGGCTGAAAAGGACTATATAACCGACTCCCTTCCTTCCAAGTTCAGAAATCCTAGAAAGAGTATTGAAATATGGAAGTATCTTCCATAAGAAATACTACATATTCCACTAAAAATGCAAGTGTTTGTTACTTATTCAATTATTTAAATACACAGGTATTTTTTAAAAATCACTTATTTTGAAATAATGTCAGACTGGCAGAGAAGTTCCAAGAGTAACACAAAGAACTATATCACCTTTTCTGAGACTGCTGTGTTCGAATTTTTTTTTTTTTTTTTTTTTTTGAGATGGAGTCTCACTGTCGCCCAGGCTGGAGTGAAGTGGCACTATCCGGGATCGTTGCGACCTCCACCTCCCACATTCACTCGATTCTCCTGCCTCTGCCTCCTGAGTAGCTGGAATTACAGGCGTGCACCACCACACCCGACTAATTTTTGTATTTTTAGTAGAGATGGGGTTTCAGCATGTTGGCCAGGCTGGTCTTGAACTCCTGATCTCAAGTGATCCACCCGCCTTGACCTCCTAAAGTGCTGGGATTACAGGCGTGAGCCTTGCCAGCATTTTATCTTTTGCTCTATCTATATATAAATAAACATAAACATTTTCCCACATTTGTTCCATCTCATTCTTTTCTAAATATACATACGTAAAACAATAGAAATATATATTAGTATATAATAAATATATACTTACATATTTAATACCTAATTACAGATGCTGCATAAATATGTAATATAGCTATATTGTTACATATTCTATATTGAATTATATGTATGTGTGTGTGTATGTCATTAGTCTTTTTTTTGACCCATTTGAGAGCAAGCTGTGGCACGATGTCTCATCACTTAATCTAAATACTCCAGTGTGTATTCCCCTAAAATGTGGACACTCTCCCCAAAACCATCAAATACCATACAAATTAGGAAATGGACATTACCACCATCTAAGCCACATACTAAATTCAGATTTTGCAAGCTGCTTCAATAATGTCTCTTTTGTTTCTGGTCCAAAATCCAATTCAGGATCACTTTACATTTACTTATCAAAGGTATTCAATATTTTTCTGTCTATCTTATA